CCTTTGCGGCTCCTCTGCTTCGGGTCTCCAGGCCGCGCCGGCCTCGGGATCGCGCATCCCTCCCGCTGCCCCGTTCCCGGGGGACCCCCGAGATCCCCCCCTTGCCCGCAGCCGCCTGCTCTGGAAGGGCCTAGCCCGGCAGGCCGGGGGCCGCGTCCTGACCTTCGCCCTCTGCAGATGACCTGGCTGATGAGATGGAGGACGTGGACTTTGACGACGAGGGGGCGGAAGAACCCGACGCTGAGGCTTGGGAGACAGAGGACGACGAGGGGGTGGAGGATGGCATGGAGGCGCAGGACGACAGCGAGGTCACGTTCTCCCTCCACTCGGGTGAGCGGTGGGCACGGGCAGCAGCAGCTGGAGTCCCCGTCAGGGCCTGCTCCCACCCTGACTTTTCCCAGAGTGTTGGGGTGCAGCGGGTCCTTACCAGGCTGCCATCTCTCAGCCGTCCCTGTGACAGCCATCACAACTCAGGGGTGCCTTGGGCTGGCATCGTTTCTACATTATACTCAGGTAGAGAAGCCCTTTGAGCCTCCTACCAGGGCAGCTCACCCTGAGCCCGGCAGACAGCCTGTGCTGCTCTTTCCCCATGGAAAGAATGGATTCTCACTGGTTTGGGTCAGGAATTCAGCTCACTGACATCCTGCCCAGACCGAGTGCTGTGTGGGGTTTGGATCCCCTGGGAGCATCAGCTGGGGTGTGAGTGGTGTCCGAGCCATGTAGCCACTCTTTACTCTTCTGTGAAGCTTCTGTTTTCTGTGTGAGCCTCGACCCCAAGACCAACACTTTGGCAGTGACAGGCGGGGAGGATGACAAGGCCTTTGTGTGGCGTGTGAGTGATGGAGAGCTCCTGTTTGAATGCTCAGGTGAGGTGCTCAAGGCTGTCCAAGTGAGTGGCTGTGTCCCCTCTCAGCCACATCTCTCTGGACATGCTGTTCCCCAGCTGATGCTTTGCTGGAGCTGGGCTCCTGACTGTCCTCCATAGCTTGGTCTGAGACATCTTTATCCCCTGACATTTCTAGGACACAAGGATTCGGTCACATGTGCTGGCTTCAGTCATGATTCCGTGTTTGTGGCCACGGGTGACATGTCTGGGCTTATCAAAGTGTGGCGGGTGGACACCAAGGAAGAAGTGTGGTCCTTCGAGGTGGGGGACTTGGAGGTGAGCGGCGGGACCCCTGGTGCTGTGGGGAGATGGTGGGCCAGCAGCTGGGACTCAGCTGGGTGGCAGGGGGGGGCAGCACCCCTGTGATGCTGCCTGTCCCTCTCTGCCCAGTGGATGGAGTGGCACCCTCAAGCCCACGTCCTTCTGGCGGGCACAGCTGATGGCAACTCCTGGATGTGGAAGATCCCCAGTGGAGACTGCAAAACCTTCCAGGGCCCTGCGTGTCCAGCCACATGTGGCAGGATCCTGCCTGATGGTGAGACTTTGAGGTTGGGAATGTCACCAGCTCTGTGACAGATCCTGCTGCCTCCATCTGCTCTCCTGCCTCTGCCAGTTTGTGCTGAGCGCGAGGTAGAGGAATGAGGAGAACTCTGGCTTTATCTGCTTGGCCCTGTCTCACCCAGGGAAGCGAGCGGTGGTGGGGTACGAGGACGGGACCATGCGCATCTGGGACCTGAAGCAGGGAACCTCGCTGCATGTCCTGAAAGGTAGGAAAAGGTTAATCACTTGGGCTGCTCCCTAGCTGGGCAACCGCCCCTTCCAGTGGGCTCTGACCTCTGTGCAGGTGGAGAGGTGGAACCCTCCAAGGCCAGGGGCTGCTCCATGCCACTGGGGTGCTGGCAGAGCTGGCCAAGGTAGAGGCTGCAGGTGGGTGGGTTTCGAGGCCCAGCAGGTCTCCACAGGGAGGACACATGGAGCTCACGCCTCTCCTGCTCGCCCTCCAGGCCAGGATGGCCACCAGGACCCCTTGACGTGTGTAGCCAGCAACCAAGACGGCAGTTTGATCATGACGGGCTCTGTGGACTGTCACGCCAAGCTGGTCAACTCTGCCACGGGCAAGGTGGGTCTCTGTGGGTGGGGGCAGAGCCAGGAGCCCAGGGGGACCAGCCTCCCAAGCCCCTGTCCTGGTCCAGGCCCGTGTCTCTGGGTGGTTTGGGTCTCTGCTGGCCCCAAGCAGGCTGTGGTGGCCACCAGCAACCAGCAGGAGGCGCCCTTGGCCAACACAGCGGCTTCCTCCTAGCTACCGGTGGGACCTGTAGCTGGGTGGTCCTGCTGGGCTGGTAAAAGGAAGTTGCCCCCACCTTGTTTACTCCAAGGAGCTGAGGTTTTGGGGTCAGGCCTTAGTGTCCAGGGAATATAAGGCTTGATCCCGGGTAAGGAATGGGACGTCGGTGTGACTGGGGGTCCCCTTCCCTTCCCCTCGGGGACTAGTCAGCCTCCCTCCCCCCAGGTGGTGTGCGTGTTCAAGATGGAGAGCATGGCCCCCAAGGCCCCCGCCGGTGAGGGTGAGGAGGCAGAGTCCAACTCAGTGGAGTCGCTGGGCTTCTGCAACGTGTGAGTGTGGGAACAGCCCCTCTTCAGTGCTAGACCTTACAGGGGTTGTTACAAATGGATCCATTTCCATCCCTCGTGCTTGTTCTGCTGCGTTCCTCTCGCCTCCATCCTCCCCAGCTGGCTGTGGAGATCCTGGGTCGCGCGGGTGTAACACAAAGGATAAGGGACACCAGCTGCTCAGTCATCCCTGAAACGTGTTGGGTTTCTGGGCTAGCCTGATGGACCACAGAGGCTGGGATACCCTCCAGACATGGCTGCTGGGGATCTTTCCTGCCAGGATGTTGTTTTCTCCCTCATGAACCTTGGGCTGGTTGCTGACTTTCCCTGTCCTGTTGGGTTTCCTGACTGCAGTGTTTCATGTCCCTCATCTTCTTGATAAGCTGTAGCTCGCAGCAAAGAATTTGCCTTCAACCTTGATCCTTCACGTGCTTCCACCCCTGCTCCCCCCAGGCCTTTGTAATACCTGTTCACCCCTGCAGGATGCCACTGGCTGCTGTGGGCTACCTGGATGGGACGCTGGCTATTTATGACCTCTCCACACAGAGCTTGAGGCATAAGTGCCAACATGAGGTACTGCCCTATCCCCTCTCCCTAGGCCTAGGCAGGGGGTCCTTGGGCACATCCAAGACCTCCCTTGGAGCCCTGGGGCTTTCCTGGGGCCAGTTCCCAATTTGTGCTTCTCCCTGGGCCCCCAGGCTTCCTCAAAGGCAGCTGCAGTTCCTGCACAGAGGATGTGCCCTAGAGCTGGGCCCTGGGGGCTGGCAGATGACACTTGGG